TGTTAATGTTGATCCTAGAAACCCTTGCCACATCCTGAGTAAGTGAAAAGACGAATCTCAATTTTCTTGTTTTCGGTACATTGTTATGAATTACGAATCAGTGTCTTGCTTACCATTTTGGAAGGCGGAAGAAAGTACGGAAGAAGCTTCTAATGCCTTCGGTATCGAATTGAACTATGAGTGCAAGACCAAAGAGAAAGAATGCTCTTTGTCGTTTCCTTTCTGGTGGCCATAAAGTATCCCAAGCTGCCAAAAAATGGAAACTCACAAGTTTTGAAGGTTTATCATTGTCTGAAAGCATAGTTAACTTTGTAGTTTATATAGAGCTCACCTTGTCTTGAAATATTACTATTGATCTGTTTGGTGAAGGAAGTAGTCTGAGTCTCTTGTTCTAGAATCTCCGCTATGACTGATGCATATTTTGGAGCTTCAGACAAAGATCTCACAACTGAATAGCCTGTTTCATTGAGGGAAAGTTAAGTCAGAGTTGGTGCAGATTCAAGATGTGAATAACCGTACATCAGGTCAAGGCTTGCTCTTACTACCTGTTGCGGGATGTACCATGCTAGCCGCAGCACCAAAGGCGAGATTCTTTTGTTCGGTGTTAGGCAAGGAACCACCAACTGGGATATAGGACCATTCCTATAGTTTTATATTAAACGAATTAACAAAGCAAACCAAGAAGTTTCTATGTTGCTCAACAAGTGAAGCTTTTACTTTTTTCCTATGTATAAATTTACCTCTTCGTAAGTCTTTAGAATTCGAATTCCGAGTGTATCTAATCTTAACATGAGCTTCTTTTTTAGCAAATCGAAGGGCATGACATCTTTTGAGGCTAAACACGTCTCCTGCAAGGATTTCTAGCTGTTAAGCAACAGACTTATCACGATAACGATTTAACTATTAGGAGAGAAACAACACAGAGAACCTCAAAGAATAGTCTTGTCTTTGTCATAGGCATAGCGTACAGAAACGTTGGATACTCAGCTTCTAAGCTCCGAACTTTCTCATTCGTATAATCTCTGTAATCCATGAAAACCATTTGCTCTGGATCATATGGACTGTTTTCCACCTGAAGATTTCAAATAGAAGAACAGTCTCAATAATTCCTCCATAAAGTCATTACTGTGGAATATCATATTCAAATTATACCTCAACCTCCACGCCGTATGCAGTTTGGACACAGACTCTAGGTCCCCCAACTTCGTATTGCAAGAGCTTTCCCGAAGCTGCTCCAGAAGCAACAGTGGCAAGTCTGCATTTGTTAGAAGTCAGAAACTTTACGTATTAGTAAAACCAGAATAGTACCACCTTTGGTTCCAGTCTGGTTACCTGCACGGAATGACGTTATTGTCGTCACAAGCAACAAGTCTAAGACCATCAGAAGCTTCTGTTATGCTGTCAACTTTCGAGCTAAGGTACGAGACACCTGACTCGACACACCTAGGAGAAATTAATAACAGATTATGTATTCAAACAGTTCAAAGTCATGAAATGCAAAATAACTAGAGAAAAACCTTCCCCAAAGATACAAAATACTTTACCTCCTCAAAAGCTCCTCGTGGAGTAAACGTCGACTAACTCTTCCATAAGCACGGCCAATGGTAATAGGATTGTCATCATCCAGATACACAATAGTATCTCTCCAAACATGCTCAATACATTTTTGCAACCCAAGATCTTCAACAGTAACAATAAACAACATGTTAAACACAAACACAGACTAGTTTATAAGATAGTGACTAAATAATGAATCATAGAGCTTTTTACCATTGAATTCATCTTCCCAAACACCGTAGTTGTTAGTAAAAGGAAGATCTGGACCAATGAGTCCAACTTTTAATCCAAGCTTAGCTGATTCTGCAGCCAAGGCTAAACCAGCAGGACCACAACCAATAACCACTAGATCCAAAGCACCATCACCAATTGATATAGGAGGCAACTATAACAATCACAATCAGATTCATAAATACCAACGAACAATTCAAATCAAAGAGACTGAGATTACGAGAGGTTTGTTTTCTTCATAAACAAGGCAAGGGGCAATGAACAGACCTTATCAACAAGCTTAGACTGTTCATCCATATCTTTGTTCTGCTGCATTTGAACGAATAGAATCTCAGAACCACCAGCTTTCACAAAATCTTCTTCGTCGGCGAAATCTTCTCTCACCACCACACAACTCTCACTACCGGAGCTTCCGCCGCCGCTAGCTCTGACACTACATAAACCGAAACGAATATTCCTAAAGCTGTATCTATTAACCACCGGAAATTTCCTTCGAGAACTCCATGACGGAAATGTTGAAACCGCCATTGCTGCGAAATTCCGAGCCCCAACACACTCCATTTTCCTCCTCCAAAATATAATAATAATAATTTCGAAATAGATATTATAAAAAGAATCTGCACGAAGAAGAAAATCTCTCACACCATTGTTATAGTTTTATTAAGGTGTAGCAGAAAGAGGAATCTAATTTTTTCCTTTTGTGATATTTGGAAAAAAATCATAAAACCAAAAATTTCTCAAAATGACTTGGGAAGAGCCATAAAGACGAGAGGACGATAACAAGGATAGACCCCTGCTTCGATTTTGCCACGTGTAATTCTATCATTGGGGAACAGACCATGTAAGGTCCTTTTTGTGAAACCACGTGTAAAAATTGGATTGGTTCAAAGTAGCCTAATAAAAGACAAGTTAGGAGACGTAGCGACCTTGTTTGGCTATAACAGGCTTTTTAATACAAGAAAGGACTTCCACGTTAGATGGGCCGAAGCTACTTCTTGGGCCTAAAATCCAGTCCATGGACGTTGACTTTATTTCTCACGGTCAACTTTCTCCTTACCTCACTGGAGAGAACACAAGTGAAACAAAGAAACAAAATTCAAAATTGCATTGCCAAATAATTAAACTCAGTTCAGTAAAACCCATGGGAGAAATAGTTCAGATGGAAAAACGAAAAGAAGAAAGGAAGACAAATATCAAGTTTGTTGATACCAAACTAATACCATCAAATCAAGTTATTCAGCTTATAAGAGCACAAGCCCGAGTTCAGCTGGCTTCAAGGCACTTTTCAAACGGTAATTGTAGAGGTAGTAATGAAGTTGTCCATCTCCTGGACCAAACTTCAGTTCTTTCAAGAAACTCTCATTGTGCATCACATCCAACGCGTTGAACACATCGAAACCCTTTTGCTTTGAGACGATTAGCGCATCATTCATCAGCTGAAGAAACGATGTCTGCGTGGCCACATTGTAGTACGAATAAGCAGCTTTCAATGTTGTGTAGTTCGGGTTACCGAGGATAGTTGAAGGGAGAGTGTAGAAGCTGCAGAAGTCAGTGACATCGTGAGTTTCAGGGCTTTCTACTAGGTAACTGTCCACAACATCTTCTCTTGGGAGTAGCCAATGCTCAACATCATTCTCATCAAAGTCGGTCGCGACTCCAAACTGGCTGAGGTAGTTCCTAAGCAACCGTGTAACAGCAGGGACATCGCGTGGTTCCATTTTCCTGAATCCAGGAGTGATCGGTGCATCTGGTAACTTGTAGAGTTTGATGGTTCTGCTCATTGTCATTCTCGCACCAAGCCTTGAAAACCCAACATCGATTAGCTTCTTCGGGTTCAATGACCTGTGCCAGTATTGGCATGTGGTGATTGGTGTAGGAAGTATAACTCCCGCAGTATAAGCAGCTTGCCATATGTTCTCCAAGTGAACCCTTCTAGTCACCTCCTTGATCATGACAGGAGCAAGTCTCTTAGACCTGAGCTTCTTGTGAACACACAAGAAATTGATCTCTGCCATTTTAACAACCTCATCACGGACCCTGATTCTTGCTGGCACGCCACTGATGAAAGCAACAAGTTTCTTCGAGGTCTTGGCACGGACTCCAATATGCCAGCTCTGGTAATAACCAGGAGGACGCAGTGCCCACCTAAGAAACTCCTTGGAGTAATTGAACCTGAACATATTCTCGTCATCTTCAACATAGTTGTTCTTGAGAAGGTTGTATACCTCTGAACACATATCATCAGAGTTCATATCGCATGTGGTCCATTCGTAAACAGAAGGAAGGTTGTACGGCTCTTGCTTGACCTCAGATAACGGAGTTGCAGGCTCAATCGGACCTTCAGGCAAACTCGTGTCCCCAATATCCTTAAACTGCCCAACAGGTTGAGTCTCCCAGAACTTATGAGTCTTTGCCTCTGACATTGAATCCTGAAACCTTCGAACTATGGTTTCCAGTGAAGTATCATCGTTGACCAATGGGTTAGCTTCGAGAATTTGATCTGCTTTCTCCTCGACAGAGCCAGGTGGTGAATTGTTATCTGCCATTTCCTACAATTACAAAAAACTTAAACAGCTAAGTTCGAGTGAAATAACAAACCAAACATCAAATTCAACATTGGACAAATCGCCAAATGCATTTATAATTACGTCTTCGTAAACTCTTCCAAAATGTAACATCCATAAATCAACACATGCTACTTTACGCAGAGATCGAACTCAATACACAAAACCAAAGTTAAATCTAGCGAATAGATCAAAAAATTTCAATCTATTAGGTTACTCGTGAACTTAGCGGGAGAAAAAATCCAGTGATTACACCAACGACCGATCAGATCTTACGAAATCAAAATCAAACGAAGAGCTAAGACTCACCGATTATGCCCGAACAAAAGAATACGCAGATTCGCACCGATTACAGATCCTTGAAGAGAGAAGTAACAGATCTCTGGAACGATTTATAGGATTCGAGTTTCCAGATTCGAGATTTAGGGTTCCAGAACAAGTAAACTCTTCTCAGAGGAGAAAGAATAAGGAAAAAGACGAAGGGCGTGATGTGTGAAGTAATGAATGACCGGATAAAATCTATTACTTCATGTAAATTACATTTTGACCCCTCTATTTTACTTTTTATTTTAATTTGACCCAGATCTTTCATTCTATCACTATGCAGTGAAACAAAATAACATGTACACTTTTTATTTACTAAGTTACTGAAAAAGACATTTTCAGTATTACTAAAAGCTATCTATATACGATGTTCCAATTCCACACACTGATGAATTTTAAAAACAGATAAATAAAAATTAGAAAAAAATCAAAGCAAACAAAAAAACCAGCAAATTTTCTCGTTTCTCCAATTTTTAGAGTCGAAAAACAAATACGACAACTTTGCTAAGCGATGGATGGATGGATGATGGATCAGTGGTGGTGAAACCTTTCGTCGGAGACTTGGAGAGTCTCAATGCCTTTGATGGCAGAATCGTAGTGTTTTCTTGTGGAAGAAGATCTCTTCCCTTCCGGCGTTGTAACCACCGGATAGTTTCTTAATCCGGCGCCTGTCCGACATCTCTGTAGCTCCTCGGATGTTACTCTCCTCGACGATCCTGCTGATTGTGCAAACAGCGACGAGCTTGGCATCTGTTATATCAAAACACATCAAATTGTTAAACAAAGAATAATATTTACTTATACACTCAGATCCATAAGCTATGGGATCGTGTAGAGTGGTTGTTCGTGTAGAGAGAGAGTCAAGAAACAGAGCAATATTTTCGTACCATTGGGCCTCTAGATGACAAGTTGCCAGAGTTTTCAAGAGCTCCTGACATTCTCCTTCGTGATGAATCCATTGGTGGTCTCCCTCCTTCTTCCTCGCCTTCAAACAAACAAACATAGCAACTTTCTAAGTTTTCTGTATAGTTCGAAACATTTGGTTGATTCAAGAGGTAATCAGTTTTAAATATGTCACCTGCATATCTATCAACGCTGGTTAGTCCGGGAGGCAAACCCGAACTGGTTCCAACTGCGGGACTTACTAAGCCACGGGATGGAGGAGCCGTTAGCTGTGACTGTTGATATTTCAATATGGTCCAGTCAAAGACATAATCGAATTGAAACCCTGCAAAAGAGACTAATGTTAGTAAGCACGGATTTAGGAAAGAAAACATGTAGGAGGGATAGAAGAAAAGCTTCAAAACCTTCGCGGATAAAGAGGTCCCGGAATATTCTTTTGAGGTAACCGTAATCTGGTTTATCATCAAACCGGAGCGAACGGCAGTAGTGGAAGTAAGATGCGAATTCAGATGGGTAACCGCGGCACAAGGACTGGAGGAAAATGAGCATATTGTAAAAACGAAAAAAAAGTAGAAGTTTGAAATAAAGAATCAAACTTTGTGATTGAGACTTTACCTCAATTGATGTAGAGACTTTCTTTTCACTGATTCTCTCATACTTTTGTTTCTTGGTTCCAGCTTTAAGTCCTTGCCATGGAAGACTAAAAAGAAACCATGAAACATATTTTTATACAGTATGAGAAGAACGAAGTGAAACCGAGGCATGCATGTAATAATACTCACCTTCCTTTAAGGAAATACATGAGAATGTAACCAAGAGATTCTAGGTCATCCCTTCGGCTTTGCTCTAGATGTTTATAACAGACAGAGAAAACAGATTAACATAAGGACAGTCTTCAGTGCAATAAAAACGAAAATCTTATGTCAAGCTTACCAATTCCCAAGTGAGTGTTCATACTAGCATATCTTGCAGTTCCAGTCAGATTCTTATTTTCTCTGCAAAAACAGGGAAAGATGGAAGAATTTAGCATTGTACGCGGGAAGAAGAAACGCGGACTGGTTACAAATCTGTTGTCTCACCTGTAGGGAATGTGCTGATGGGTAGTATTATCCCGGTATTTCTTTGCAAGACCAAAGTCGATGATGTATACCTTTATATATGAAAAAGTGTCATTTCTGAGAACATTTAAAAGCAAAATGAGAACAAAAACGAAGATATAGGTGACGGGAACCTGGTTTGCGCGCCTTCCTAAACCCATCAGAAAATTGTCTGGCTTAAGATCTCGGTGAAGGAAAGATTTCGAATGGAAAAACTCAACACGGTTGATCTGAACATAAAGGAATAAAAAGATTTGATCAGTAAACTAATCTAAGGAAAAAGAGTCACATATAAACACAAGAAGAGATGTACCATTTGATCTGCGAGCATGAGGACAGACTTCAAGGAAAGTTTCCTGCTACAGAAATTGAACAAGTCTTCAAGACTAGGCCCAAGTAAATCCATCACCAGAACATTGTAGTCACCTTCAACACCAAACCACTTGACATTTGGAACACCAGCTGCCATAATTAAAAATTCATAAGAGATTTAAGTACATGGTATCAAAAGAGCAAATGGAAAGAAAAAAACAGAACAAAAAGATTGTTTATCAGAAATGAATTTTTACTTCCTCCCTGTAGAATTCTGTATAACTTCGATTCATAGAGCAGCTGCGGATGTTTAGTTTTCACATTTTCCTGCAAAAAATAAAGAAACTACTCTCAGTATTCCACCAAAAGTCTTGTAGCAATAACAAATCAACCTGGAAAAGAAAAGAACCATACTAAATCGATATACATTGTCCATAAATATGACAGAAGCTTTAATGAACAAGTGAAGACTGGACTTTTGTACCAAATTATCATCAATGTTGATCTAGTTCAAGTAACTCAATAAATGTTTTTAAGCTCAAATCTAACTTCAGAAGTTATTCCATCATTAATTTTTAAAGTAAACAAACTACATTGTCTCAATCTGCAATAAAATCTTCACATAACGCTAACAACACAAAAAACAAAGCTCGTAGCAGGAACTCACGAGCTTGATTGCAACTTCTTCATTCGTTTGAATATGAGTACCTAAAGAAAACCACATTTCAAGGACAAAGTTAGGAATGTAGAAAATCTCAATTGAACAATTTAAACAGTAAAAAACAAAATCAATTGAAGAAAAGACGAACCAAGATAGATCTCTCCAAATGAACCACTTCCAATCTTCCGGCCGAGACGATATTTGTTTCCCACACGAGGCTCCATCGATAATAACCAATTCAGAAATCCAAAACCCTAAACTATAATAATCTCTCAACCTCAACGCCGACTCTAAAGGAGAAAAATTTAATCCTCTTCCCAAAAAAAAAAAAAAAAAAAACTTTGTGCCCACCAAAAAGAACCCTTTAATCCACAAGAATCAGCAGCGCAAACCCAGAAACGAAATTAAGAAAGATCCAATTCTGCAAAATTAGGGCTGAAACAAAGACCCAATACTCATCTTCATTCTTCCAACTCCTCTCTCACGATCTGGAACAAAGATTCGTAATGTCGATTCTCTTCTTGCTTTATCTCTCTCTCTCTTTCTTCACGCGAATTGAAAAAAACGAGGATAAAAAGGTAAGCTTTGTATGAAGGAAGAGAATGAAGGTGTTTCTCAAAGTTTGGGTCTTTTCCTTTCCTTTCTTCTCTCCTCTTTCCTTTTTTTCTCTTTCCTTGCAGGTAACTATTATTCCTCAGCTTCCACGGTTCCAAACATCCCGGTTTCACTAAACCAAAACCCGGTTAAATAATTAACTATTAATCATTTCCAAATTTTCAAACGCATACGTTAGTATTAAACTTCAACGATCATTTACTATCATCATATTTAAATGTCATCAACTCATATTAATTACGTATGATCCATCTACATAACGGTTATTTGATTTTCCGGTTTAATTCGGTAATTGAACGTTATAACACGCGTATCAGTTTAAAAATTATTTTACAAAATTAAAAAAATTGGATTGGCTACGAGTAAGAAATGGGTGACCAAGCGTGACAGCTACGCGTGCCGTTGGTGAGCGGTAAAGATCGTTTGGCACGTGACTTCCACCCATCATAATGAGTCAAATATACTCAAACGTAATCTGCACGTGGCTTAATTCTTTTCTCCGTATTTTGACTTTACTGGTCTTAAATTCTAATCATACATTGTACGAGGAGAATTTAAATATTTGTAACTTTGGTGTTTGGTCAGTCCGGTCGGGATAAATAACTGTTTTTCTACGATGAAATAGTCATATAATTACACTTTATTTTATTATAATTGTTTGAAGAAAATAATGATATTGATGTAAATGTTACAAAGTCAATAAAAGGTTATAAACCTCAAAAAAATACATGTAAAATTAAACTATTTAAAATAATAATGAGTACGCTGTCAAAAAAAAATAATAATAATAATAATGAGTACAAGTTATACTCTAAATAAAGAATCACCCAATGTTAGGGGACTGCAAAAAAAAAAGGAATATTCAAAATTAATTGATCAGATTAGGAAAATTGGGAAAATTAGTGCCTTGGGCTTGGAAGACCCATGCAAGAGAGTCTAGGAGAGACACGGATCTTTGGGCTGGGTCTTGGCGACGGTATTGGGCCAAATAATCCCATTGTTCCGTTGACTACACGAGGAGAAAGGTTGACTTGTTCAAGCGCCCGCGTCTGCAGATTCATTGGGTAGTCCCGCACACACCCGATCCTAGGACCATTTCCAGTACTCCACTTGCATGAAAAGCGTTTCTTTTCATCTGAACCGTCCGATTTCGCCACCATCATCGACGGCTTGGTGCTTCCGTCCGTTTTGACCAGATGATCATCGTCGTCAATCGCATTCATCTAGAACACAATTAATTAAGAAGATTTATAGCTAAAAAATAACAAACTAATCTAGATAAACCATAAATTCTAAATTTTAAGGTTATTTTCGTATTAATTAGCTTAATTACCTCGACATTAGTGAGATCCACGTGGTTTTCTTTCAAGAAACCGATAAATTCTCGGAAATTCTCTTCTGTCGGGAGATAATGACCACTGTACGGCCACACAGCTTTAACAACTCCACCGTGTGAAACAATTCTACCGGCGGCGGTAATAGCGGCGCCGGAGAGAAAGCTCGAGTGTTGAAACCGACCTTTCTGCTTCTGACCAATGTACAATTTTCTTGTCGTGCTCAACACAAAGATCCATTTGGTTCCTTCAATAGTCTCCACTAGGTTCTTGGTTTGTCTGTTGACTAATTTCCCATCTTCCACTACCACTTCGTAAGCTTGTCTCTCTTTCTGTTAATCAAACCAAAATTAAAATCGGTTTTTCTTTTATCAACCGGAGTTAACCGAATAATATATATACATACCGGACCAAGGTAAGTGATGCATTGACGCTGAAGAAGCGTTCTTGAACATTTGTTGAGATTTACTTCCTTGCCATCTCCAATGTCTAACCTTTAATCTCATTCAAAAGGTTTGCTATCAAAATCAGCAATTTATACTAAGCAACATTCGAAATCAAAATTTTGTCTAATTCATGTCAAATTTACCAGAAGAAAAAAGGCTGAGTACTCTCGCTTTCTGACCAGACATCGTAGTATAAGTGTAAGTTATGTCCGTACCTATGTCGTGGATCAATCTGCAATAACAAAACAAAAAAATTATTACTATATCATCAAAGTAATGTGTATATTAAAGTAAAATAAATAAAAGCCTAAACTTACGGCTTCTAACCAATGTCGCAATGCTAATTTTTGTGCTTTATCATCTTTCAACAATCCTTTCCCCACCTATGAACCAATAAAAAATTACTAATTATAATCTATGACATTAAAATTAATTAATTATTATCCGAAATTCCTTTTAAATTACCTTTGCTGCTTTTGTTCCAGCTCTTGCCCACCTTGATACAGCCGACTCCGGTTTCTCATTGGTTTTCTTCGGTTCTAACTTTGCCAATTCCAATTCTTTCCACCTAAACCAAACACACACATGGGTTAAAATGTATAACTGAAATTCACGGGGTTGTTTCGTTAAATAATTAGAACTCAAAAACGTACCATAACTCTTCAACAACAACTGCACAATCAGCAAGGTTTCTACGTGTTCGGTAACTCTTGTAAACCTTTTGTAACGTAACGGCGGCAGCGTCTAGCTCCGTCGACGGTCTTGGAGACCAAAACGGCGTCGGTGCTGGTAAACTTAACGCCGTTAAATTTCCCATTTTACCTCTGTTCCTTCGTTTTGGAGACGAGCCTTCTTCCTCGTCTTCTCTGTGTTCCACTTGTACTAGACTCGTGAACGAGAGACTTCTCTCAAGAATCATGTTATCTGGTTTAGGACCCTTCAAGTTTATACCTTTTCTCGTTTTGACCCCGCAACTTCCATCTCTGTATTTGCTCCCCTGGTCGACCAAATCTTTGAACGATAAAGTCTTCTCAAGATACATGTGTACCGGGTTTTTACGAATTCTCGGTGTTTCACACTCTTGTGAATCTTTCTTGAAACTGTTGTCTCTTTGTAAGTATCCAAAAGATAAAGCCATTAAAGCTACCTGTAAAATTTAAAAGCAATGATTCAGACATGAGATGAAGAAGAGAAAAATGGTTGAGATCCAAAGATTGAGGAAGGTACTTACACTGATTACGATCTGAAGAAGTTTCGTAGAATGTTTTAAGAAACAGAGACACTTATTAAAGACAAAAAGAAGAACTCTCTCTGTTTATGGTTATGTCTTTTCTTTGCCTATCTGTCGTCTATATTTATATTAATGAATATATAAATTTATGTTGTTTTTTTAGATGTTTTTTTTCGTGAGAACAAAATTGGGATTGGACCTTAAGGTACGGAGTGAAGATTTTTCTTTGAGTCTTGATTCAAAGGTTTTACGTTTTCCTCGGATTTAAAACCACAAAAAATCAAACCACACGACCTATTGATTTTCATATTTCAATGTTTAAAATTTATTTGTTATACTTATACATACTAGCGTGTGGGGCAACTTTGAATACGTCGTCTTAATGATTTTATAAATTTACTCACAGTCAGAACTTATTAACATTTTGATAACACTATACACATATACATAACATAACTCTACATATGTGACCGTGTTGATTGATATACGCACGGCGTTACGCACGGAACGTGTGGGGACATCATTGAATACGTCGTCGTTTTTATACAATTCCCAACTTATATATGGATTTCATATTTTTCTGACTCATTCATTTATTGTTTTTTATTTTACGGTCAATGGATTTGTTCTATTTCTATTTAGGATAAAGTATAAAGTATAAACAGTACTTAGCAGTATTAAATATTCTTGGTTTATGTGCTTTTCCAATTGAAACAAGCCTATCTATCAAACACAATCATATGTTAAGATTATACCTATATATTAATTGTGAAACAAAATAATTATGTTGAATGATTCTGATGGGAGCTGTTTATAGTTGAAGATTATACTTTTTATTTTATTTTACTTCAGACATGATAAAATAAAAAATCGAATCTACGGATATTTGAATATGTCGGACTGAAATTTGAATATTTGAGATATGACTTTTTTTATTAATAACATAATACTAGACACAAATTAAAATTTAGAAGGAATGATTGCATAGCATTATTCTACTGTTATTACATTTTTGACCGTAACACCAAAGTATATAGATATCATGTCCTATACAATAAGTTAATGTGTATATATCAATAATTCGTCTTTGGTTTCTACTCCAATAGATTATAAACATCATAACTAGTAAACGAAAACTTGTAAAATAAAAATCTCGGCGTGGTTAGATGGTTTTACACAAGTCAAATCAAATCTATAACATTCGAGTTTGGTGAGTGTGGGCCACTAAACTTTAAATAATAATGTTTACGATTATGATAGCGCAAAGCCAATATGATTAAGAAAAGTTGTGATTAAATTGATTTTTCAATGGTCCATACATCTTTATAAATTCAATTAATAACAATTCACTACTACGTTAATTAAATAAATATTATTAGAGTGATTTATGATGGTCAAAGAAAGCAACCATATATGAATGTGATAAAGACATATTAAAAAGCACCAAAACCGGTTCGGGGTCGTGAGGTGTAAATGCAGAGTCAACCATTTGCGGTCAAGTCCCTTTACATTTGGGTTTTCTCAAAAGAGTTTCTTCTTCTTGTTTTCTACTAGATTGTGTGTGCAGCGTACGTGTTAGTTCAAAGTTGTTGGTCTATTTATCTCACTTGCTCACCTTTTACACGACACAAAATAACACTTTTGTGCTTCCTATCAACATTTTTGTTAACTAGTTGTCATAAGATGTTAAAGTTTATCTTTAACTGTTTTACCAATATATAACCCAAAATATTTAATCGAAAGAAATGTAGTAAGTAACAATATCTTTATAAAAATACTTGTACTAAGAACGTTTCGCAATTTGTATATAATAATACTAATTCATACTATTGAAAGGAAGTATGTTAGTTTTGAATATTTTTGATTCTACAAGAATGATTAATAAGCGATTGTTAAATTTCACGAAAAACAATCATATGATACTTTTGTTTATATCACTGAATCTTTAATATCACTTTAACTAGTGATTTATCAATACTCAGTATAAATATGTGTACGTAATAGCGAGAGAATTATATAAAATTACAATTTGATTTAATCGAGGGCATTGAGAAGACTCTACTTGAGGCGTAAGAAAAGGGTTTTGGATATATAAGCTTTATACCTACCCTTTTTACCAAGTAAAACACCATCCCCAGGTAATGGAATATAACTTATAACATTGGTCAACAAGCAAGACCGTTATTACGTGTTTTTCGACTTGAATATTCTTGTTTACTTTTTTCCTGTCGTTGAGATGTTAAAGTTCTCGGATTGGTGAAAAATAACTACATAATGCGTGATCGTTAAGTCTAAAATATATTTATATAGAAAGTATGGAAAATACTAGTTAGCCACATTTTGGATATCGAATTCATATTATATGAGTTATACTCTGCTATATATGTTCATTTATATTCTTCTATTTTCGTCGACGATCTAGCCACAGTTCTCAATGTAGATTTCATATTATGAGTAAATTATATTAAATGATCATTCTTCTCTTTTTGTCTTGGCTTGACCTAAGACCAAGAGGTCAAAGTTTGAAATTGGATGTCTAAAATTGCACCGATAAGTCAGAGACACGATATGACTTGCAACTTTAGCGGTAGAAGTGTAAAAAAGTTACTGGCTATTTTGCTAGAACGTGTATCCATATCATTTATGTAGCTTTGTTAGGGGTGTCAAAATGAGCTAGCTCGCTCAACTCGGCTCAGCTCATGATGAGCTCGGACATTTCATGAGCTAGTTTAGCTCAGCTTATTTATTAGATGAGTTTCAATATATAAATTCGGACTCAGATCATCTTGGTCGCGAGTTATATGAGCTAGCTCGCGAGCTCATAACAAATAAATATAATAACAAAAATAATGTAAATTAAAAAAAAAAAATCCAATAACATAAGGGAAATTGTTAAAAATACCTCTTTTGATGTGCCCCTTTTCAAAAATGCCCATTTTAGATGTCCATTTTCAAAAATGACCCTTTTAAAATCTGAAATTTTTATAAAGTTTTATTAGGTTTATAAGGTACTTATGGATTGTAACTACTACTTGAAGACTCGATCCAAGTATTTATAAGGTTTTATAAGGTGTTTTTAAAGGTTTTACAAGTTATTTTAAAAGATTTTTAAGGTTTTTCAAAGGTTTTACAAGATATTTTAAAGGTTTTTAAAGGTATTTAAAATGCATTTATAAGGTATTTATAAAGTATTTATAAGATTTTAGATACATAGAAATGTAGTTTGTGTATGTTTTAATAATATTACATACATATTTGGGTAAATCTTATATTTTTAAGAGCATTTTAATAAGGTTTTTAAAAAGGGTTATTTTTGAAAAGTGGCATTTTTGGAAAAGCCCCCATAACATAATTAATTCTAAATTTATATAATGAAAATAAATCCAATAAAAAAAATCTCAAAACAGAAATTTTCTAATAGAATAATTCTATTTATATTTAGTTTAAATGGAAACTATATATATGCTTCTGTTGATATTTTGTATATATTTACAATATATATATATATATATATTTAAAAAAAAAAAGTCGAGCTCATGAGCTAGCTCATGTTCATTAAAGCTCGCTCATATAACTCGCGATCTAAAAAGAGCTCGATCACATAACTCATTTATTAAATGAGCCTAAAAAACAGAGATCGTGCTCATGAAAAATCGAGTTGAGCTGAATCAGCTCATGAGTTGCGAGCTCATTTTGACACCCCTAAGCTTTGTATAAAAAATACTAATCCATAAACTATATAGTAGTAGTCGGTCAGGGTCCAATATGCTCAATTTATTTTTTACTTTTTGGTAGTTAACAATAGTTCTATAAAAATACCAGAACTGATTATAATCTTTAACAAAAAAAACCATGAAATATTTTGAGCCGATCTTGTTTTGGACATTAAAAAAATAAAAGTACTAATCAGAAATTTAAGTGTCGCCTAGTTCATAGATAGTTTAGTTAACCATTTAAACGTTGATTAATTTTGATTTTCTCTATTTTTTCTATAGTTCTTTAAAATATATTTTATAAAAGAATTAAATCACAATTTTATAAAAGGTGACTCTTGAGAGTGTGAATTTTATTTAGGCTGAACCAAAAAAAAAAAAAAAAAAAATTGAAGTGGATCTAACGTAAGACGCATGGGCCATGGCCCATTATAATATAGTTACGTGGCGGTCTAAACATAGAAAAGAGTACATAAGATAGGATTTAGTGACTTAATTAGCCTAAAAACATAAAAGTGGGACCCAAGATTAAGCTAATCCAGTCTGGCTTATTACAGATGTTTTCAAATTAGGACCAATTCCTAAGTTGCCTTTGTGGGAATCATGCAATTATAATTTTACCTCAACGGATTTTTCCCAAATTCAGTCTCTCAGAATAAAAACCCTACAAAAATCCCTAAATTCCATCGATTCTCTCATTCTCTCCATTGTTCAAGCAAGAAGAAGATGACGACTGGTGTCAACACAGTTTCTGGTAATTCATTCTCCGATGTTTTCTATGAGATTTTGTCTCGTTCTTTAGTTGATTTGTTCTTGCTCTTTTATCAAAATCGATGCGATAAATCTCGTTCTTTAAATTGATTTTGTGTTTATTATTGCTTCTGATTTTGAGAATGAATCATCGCAGAATTTTTCCTGGGGTTTAATGGTGATTTTACTGGTTTTATTGAGGTTATTTAACAATCAATCAGATTATTGTTTTTTTTTGTGCGATTAATACTTGTATGAATCTAATCATTGAGATTCTTAGAAGCCAATTTATATATCATCATTGAGTTCATTACAGAGTTTATTGAGCTTATTAACGAAATTAGTGTTTTTTGGATGTGTTATATTTTTTTGTAATGTTGAACAACACTGTGGATTTGTTTTGTGTCTCGTATTATAAGATTTGTTGGCTTTTGTTTGTTTGTTTGTTTTGGTGATGAAGATCGTTCGGACAAGAAGATTCATGCTGACATTGATGAGAGTAAAGTCAAAGCACCAAACATGTTTGAACGAGCAAAAGAAGAGTTTGATGCTGTTGTTGGAGCTATTCATCAACGCAAGAGTTCAAAGTTTGTTTCTTTCTTTCTTCTGATATGTACCCATTAAGCTTCTCAGTGTCTAATGCCATGAGGAAAGTTTAAGCATTTTGATTATGCAATGAGCGTGTACAGGAGTTTGCTAATGTGTTATCAATTTTGTTTTAGGGACGAATCTGACAAAATGGAATCCAAATCAGAGAAACCAGGTTCAGTTTTTCTCTCATCATGTTAACTTTGTTTCTGATAGCAATTCTTAGGTTCTTAATCCTCGAAACTTATAGTGATCGTTTCTTGATCTTGTTGTGTTCATTATGGATTCTTGTTCAAGACTCAATTTTGTTTCACATGGTTTACATTGACAGAAGATGGAAAGAAAAAACCGAATATGATCAAAAAGGCGAGGGAAGACCTCAAATCTTTATTCCAGAAGGAGAAACCTCCTCGCCATCATCACCATCATCACAAAGAAACTCATGGAAGGAGTGATGATATCAATGAGAACACTCCAGTTGATGAAGTGAAGGCTCCTAATGTTTTGGAGAGAGCCAAGGAAGAAATCGAGGCCGTCATCGATACCATCCATCCCAACTTGCGTTCTCGGTCTGTCTCACCGGAGAGAGCTGGATTCGCATGCAACATTGGAAAGGGTTTGGAAAAGATTTGTTCTCCTTGGGGTGATGGTAAAAAGGATTAAATTATTCTTATGATTGATGATCATAAACTTGTTTGTTAGTTGTCATAATAGACTTGGTTTTAAGTTTCAATCAGTTTGCTGATTATTAGGTACTAAATTGTTACCTTACAGACTTTGCTTGTTCTTGTCATTTCAAAAAATTCAGTGTCTTCTAAGTAAATATTTCTAAATTCGTTAGCTTTCTTTTTTTTTTTTTTTTTTTTGGCTCAACAACAAGTTAATATTCTCCAATAACTTGGTTACACTTTGTCTAATTCCACAAGATTTCTAACTCAACTTGGCACCATAGAATACAAAATGGGGACATAATTCATAAAAGAAAGAGCCCCCCTTGCAGTTCTATTTGCCACTCTGTTTCCTTCTCGAGAGATGAATGAAAACTCTACCTCATCAAACTGCTGGAGCATGATCCTAATGTCTTGAATGCAAGGACCTAAATTCGTTAGCTTGTTTCATGGATTCTATGGGTACACTCTATTACTAGAACTCAGACACATTTTCTTTCATATTTTAAAATCGGTGGGCCTTATTTGATATAAACTCATTTTTCCATAGATGGGCCAATGGACTTGGTTGTAAGAAATTAAGCACACATTACGGTTTAGGCCTTTTTTTTTTTTTTTTTTTTTTTTTTTGGATAGTAGATTTTATATAATCTAACTCTAACGTAAACCAAGTATTATTTAATATTTAAGTTTTAAATACTCTAACCTAATCCAGCATTATTCAATATTTAAATTCAAATATATATATATATATATATATTATATTTATTTGTTTTAAATTTGCAAATATTCTTCTATCAAATGATTCAAATCAAGTGCTAATGGTTTTTTTTTTTTTTTTTTTTGGTAGGGTAGGGGTAGGTATATCAAGTGCTAATGGTTCTTAGCTTTACAATATCTTCCTTAATAAGTTAAAATCAAGTGTTATTAGTTCTCATATTTATAATGTCTAAAGAGTTTAGAATGTAATTCTATAAAATGATTAAAAATGACAAACCAAAATGTTGTGTTATTCATGTTTTATAGATTCATTTCTCACAAATCATTTTATTTGAATGAATTTTTTTTAAGAAAACCTGATTTTATGTGTAAATTACCAAATAAAAACATTCAAAATCTTACCTTTAACATTGAGATATCCATAATAATTATAAAATCCTTACTTTGACCAAAAACAAAAAAAAAAAACAAAATCCCCTTCGAAGATGATTTAAACTTTTATTATACAACCAATAAGACCAATCTGACTTTTGTCCTTTTGTCTGGTTCCTTCGACCAAAAGCTGAACTTTGGGGTTATCGATTATGGCTGCTTCTGGGTTGACAGAGTACTTTAGCCCTCCGAAGAAGCCGAAGTTGGACAAAGCCTCCGGAGAATCGAGTTCCGGCTCCACATACCGCAAACTCCGGAAATACGATCCGTACGACGATGAATACATACGACAGTACATCTTATACTACTATCAGTTCCATAAGAGCGAGGTATTGGAATTTAGGGTTTTATTTTGAATTCTGTATATTGCTATAGTACCGTCTACCTCAATTTAGAGTTTTAATTTTGAAATCGGGTACCGTTGATTGTTGTGAGATTGCTCCTCCCTTTTAGCTCATTTTGTTTTGTGTGGTGGTTAGGGTTTCGTGATTGATTGGGATAATTTCGATTATTGGTTCAGTAATATACCTGTCATAGAGCCATATCCTCTCTCTCAGTACAGGACCAATGCTGAAGTAATCCGTGATGTGGTTTGCGGTGCCATTAGCCAACACAATGCAGATACGGTCAGTGTCTTGCTAATTTTATTGATAATGCTATTGTTGTTGTTGTTGTTGACATTTTCTTACTTTTACTCACATTTAATTCAGGGAACTAGGCTTGTGTTTGTCGATCACGTTTCGGCAAGTTACAGGTGGTGTGCTGGTATGCTTTATTGGATAACGTTCTGGGCTAGGGATTTGGCATCATCCAGTCCCGAGCCTAAACTTTATCAAACTAATGTTCTCTGGTGTGGACCAAAAGTATGTGAGATTCAGATCTTCAGGCCCAAACCAACTGATGAAGGTATTCATGAAACCTCTTTTTTGAATCAACTGCTACAACTCTAAACATTCATAGACACCTGCATTTTCTTGGGAATTTTAGTGTTATCCAATTTGAGGCTTAAACTGGATATTTTCCCTTTGTTGGCGTATGGTTTGTGTGCTCCATGCGTATTTATGGCACATCTTAAAACTATGAGGTTTCTTTTGCTTTAGGATAGTGTTCTTATATTGCATTCTAAATTTTCATTTATTTACAATGGAAGTGATTGTGTTTGATGTAAACTAGCTAGTGTGTGTGTTGCTATGATGCAGAGATTGCTGCTGTTCAAGTGGATCCTCCTCCTCCATTGTATGATGATGTCCCAGGTGGATCTTTTTACTCTTTTCTTGTTTTTTCATATGCTTTTCAAGCCAAGTGGTAACTTTTTTTTTCCAGGTTATTAGCCTCTTTTCTTAACTAAATTATTTGGTGCTTGCAGAGTTACCCACCATATTGTTCACCGTAACGGGTCCAGGGTCTGGTTACATGTCCATACCCGAAGTTTCCTTCACTCGGATTCCTGCTGAAGTTGAGCCCGCGTCTTCATCAAAATCCACACCGTGAAAACCAAAACGCTAAATCCTTGATTGTCTTTGTCTACCTTTCTTTCTTCTTTGTTGGATTCATCTTAGATATATATCAATATATCATTAGGAAGCCTAAATAGCTTTGTTCGTAACTTATGTTCTTAATTTGTAGTGGAATCCTTATTTTAAAATCTAATCATATTTTAAAACTTCAGTCCTTTTTGAAGCGCGGTAAAATTTGAAATCACATCACTTAAATAAAGTTGTCTTGATTCGTATGTTTTATTTACTAATTATTTACTAGTTTTATCCAAAAATCTCTATAGAGGATCACTTTTTGTAGAAAGCTATTCTCCAGAAAGCTCTATAGAAGAGAATAATCTTTGGTAAAATACTCAGATAACTCTTTAGAATTTTCTTTATCAATCAAAACCAAAACTAAGACATTAGAGGTCTATATTTTATAACGAGAAGCAAAAGTCTTAGGTTTAAAACATAAAATCCATATATAAAAAGAAGAGGAAAAAACTAACTCAAACCATTATTGAACTTAAAACTCTAACGTGTATCTGTATGACGAGCCAAGAGATACGTTGCACTAGTTTGTCTCTCTCACACCTGCAAGCTGCAATAATAAATATAAAACCAGTGTAGAGTAGTGATATCTTGTTAAAACATATTATAGAAATATGAAATTCTTTGCTAACAGAAAAAGAAAAAAAGAGATACGAAATTCTTACTCTTAATTGACGATCAAGCTTCATCTTGGTTTTCTTGGGAAACCACGTATCTTGGGATATGCAACTGCAAAGAACTCCGACCCTTGACCGCTTTTGATTCGGCGATATACGTATCCGAAGCCTCCATTTCCCCATCCTTCACCATAAGAGTTTTGGATAATCCAATATGGTTTACCATTATCATATCCATATCCAATTATAAGGACTTGGTGGAAATTAACATCCACATCTCCACTTGGTGACCTATAAATTCCCTGCAAATTTAAAAACAATTACTCATTTGCAAATTAAAAAAAATATTGTATAAAATTGATCTCAATGGAATTTTCACTTATGAATCTTACAGATCCAATAGCAAGGAATTCATCATTAGTATTGCGCAATATCCCAATCACAGGTTGTTGTACCACGATTGCTTGAAGCTCCTCGTCGTTCACGTTCGTGAGATACTCGAACTCATCTACCTTGATATAATGAATCTATACATACATATATACATGCCAATATGATTTATCATTAAAGAAGTGAAAATTAATAAAACTAGGTAAAAGACTTACGTTATCTGGATGACGGCAAACCAACTTCTTGAACACATTGTTGTCACGCGTATTCGGTGTGCATTGACTCGCAGTACAAAATCCTTCACCCGTTGCAAAAGAGAAAGCTCTCTTCATGTTTTGAATACCATCATCTTTGTTGTAATGTACTTTATTTACCGCATGTTGTATAGAAAGGTCAACTATTTGATTCTCGTGAGGTAAGTTTATGTTCAAAAGAGCTGTTACGGCCCTCACCAAAGCTATAGCCCAACATATTGCTTTAGTGGAAAGATTAAAAAAAAAAAATGTTAATTAGTATTTTGAATTGAAACTTAGTGCAAATCATGATTTTGTAACAAAAACGCTCTATATGTATGTTATAATAAATATATATGACATCACAAATGTATTTGTTTGTGAACATGTTACTTCTTACACAAGCAAGCTAGACAAAGAAAGTGCAATTTTATCGCATCATGCCATCATTGTTCATACTATATTTCATACCACTTACCAGGCATGCATATGGAGAAATAAAATAAAATATGTGGATTAATAACAGGGACGCATCTAATTGCATTAATGTTCATGACATTTGTTTTTCACTATGTTTTCTCATAACAATCCATAGGAGGAGGTGATAAGAATAAGAAAAAAAACACTCTTGGATTAATAATAGAGAATAACTCATATTCAACAAAAAAAAGTAGAGAATAATAATACGTATACCCTGCAACTTTTGGTTCATCACAGGACCGATTACTCCCGGATAATCCCTCCAATCCCAAGAAGGAGGAAGCTAAATGTTTAAAATCATATAAACAAACGTAAATGAGTGGAATAGTAAAATCTAAATAAATATTTAACTAGATTTATTCTTTGATATGATTAAAATGTTTTTATATTCTCAGCTACTTTTACCTCCCATAATTCTTCTTTAGACGATTTAGATGGCATTTTTCCTTTCCCCTTCTCTTCGGCCTGTTAGATTATACATAATCATTAGTATATTTTTCTTTGCCATACTATAACCACAATCAATTTAAAATAAAAAATACGTACTTTTAGTTTTCTATCAACACTTATTTTTCACCCAAAAAAATAGTTTTACATGCTAAGAGAAAATATTGATCAAGTTACCCATTAAAATGTTAATTAAAACCCGTATTTTAGTGTATATATATAACCATGTTTTGAAGAAGTGTTGAAAAACATATCTACTACGATCATATATATTGTGCTATATACATATATAAGCAAGTTACAAAATACATATACTTTTCAAATGCAAATTATAACTTTAGATTTGTGCTTGTAATATATATATAGCTGGCATTCATAACATTTTAGTGAACTGACTAAAAAATAAAAACTGGAAAAAAGACACATATACATATTTCTATTCCATGGATTATTTTATGTAAATCTCCATTTAAAAACAAATAATTGGATGTTATACATACCGTAAATCTATTCTTCTTCTCTTCACCGTTTCCTCCCCCACCTTTTCTATTGCTTCTTGTAAACATTCTTATTCTTGAAAAAGAAAAAAAGAAAAAAAGAAAAGAAAATCAAAACAGCTTAAAAGATAAACACAATTAAGTTTCTTTTTTTATGAAAGGACGAGGAAACTCACGAGGTTTGTGATTGTGTGTGATAGATAGAGAGAGCTAGGGAGAGAGAGGAAGGAGGGAGTTTGTTTGGGATCTTGAGAGAAAATAAAAGATAGAGATAGAGAGTGTTTGTTGTATTTGAGATGAGTGAGCAGGTGTATGATCATTTAAATAGAAGTGTTTAAGAATGTAGGATGAAAGAAAGATATCTTTTACTGAGTATTCCCTTGTATTTTACTGTCAGTATTTTAATTATCAGTATTGACAATAATATATAGATAAATATAATTTTCATTTTCATTTCACGTGTCAATTGGAAGAATGTTTTTAACAAACAGTGGACTAACCGTCGTTTAGGAACAACTTAGGTCTTAGGAAACTAAAATCAGATGTTACTTTAAGATAAACGAAAGTAAAAATCCAGCCATCTTATACGAAAGACTTGCTCGCTATAACCATTGTGGCTTAACCTTAATGCTAAACAAAACAATCAGATAGAAAGAGTCCACATTTGGTAACAAAGGATCAAATAGAGAGACCATCCAAATCCTGAGGTTTTTTTCACTCGAATAAACAAAAAAAAAAACTAAGAAAATTGTCATAATAAACCGAAGAATCATGCAGATGTTTATTCGTTATGAGCTTATCCTTTATGCAAACAATAAAATATAGTTTTGATAACCAAAAAGAACAATAGATAGTATACTAATACATGTCGTATTGGTTTATTTGTTGATACAGATACTATTAAGTTTCATCAAATGAGATTTGACATTTACAAGGCATTGCTGTCTCATATATATTTATTCGAAATAAATAGTAATCTGATATATAATATATTTGGCCAATCGAAAAAAATTATATGTTAATATGTTCAACTATAGTAATTTTTGCATTGATTATGAACATTTGATGATCGTGGGTTTTATTGACTTTTGGGAGCTATGTAATTTCATCAAGCGTCCTGCAAAGATAACTTGCTATAATAAGTATTTACCAATTGGGAATGTTTGAAAAACTAATACTAATCGATGACAAAGGTGAAATGTATCAACAAAAAAGTAGGTGATGACTGGGTAATTAAAGTGGTAAACATTAAATATAACACATGCTAAAGCATCTTTTTCTAATGGGGTTTGTAACTATCATTTTTTTTCTTTCTTTTGAAATGAATGAAATACTTAAAAAAAGTTATGTATCCTGAATGAGGGTTTGAAATTAGGGAAGAAGAAGCGTCGAAAAAACAAAGTAAACGACATATATATAGAGAAAGAATCTCAAAAACAGCTATATATAAAATATATATATAATAGTAATCTAATAAATACCATTTGCACATCTGAACGGTTACGTCTTTTTATCGTAACCTTTCGTTTACATCGGTTATTTTTTTACGGTTATTTTGGTTGCGTCTTTTCGTTGATATATTTACGGTTGTGTCTTTTATCGCATCTTTTCGTTAACATATTTCGTTAACATCTTTTTGTATCTTTTCAGTTTACGGTTGTGTCTCATAGTTTCATCTATTCATTTAAAGTTATGTCTCATATTATATATATTTAAATTTTGGTTTTAAAACTAAAATATATATTATATGGTTGTTTTTTCAAAAAGTTGCAATCTGAATAAATATTTTCTACGGTTGCATCTTTTTATCGTAACACTTCATAAACAATTGCGATGTTTAGTTGAACCATTGCAACATTTACTTTATTTAACGAACAATTATAATTTTTGAATTATTTTATAAATCGTTAAAACATTTAATTTTTGAAAAACTAAAAATATATATTATACGGTTGAATTTTTTTAGAAAGTTGCGATCCGAATAAATGTCTTCTACGGTTACGTTTTTTTTATATCATAACTTTTCGTAAACGGTTGCAACCGTTTAGTTGAACCATTGCAACATTTAGTTTATTTCACGAACAAATGCAACTCTTGGTTTATTTTATAAACCATTATAACATTTAATTATCTATAGTCACGTCTTTCGGTATAACTTTCTCTAAACTATTATTTCAATTTTAGTTAGGTATCCCGTGGATAGAGAGAAAGATAGATTAAATGAAATTTTAAACGTTTAATTGAACCGTTGCAATATTTGGTTTATTTGACAAATTATTGCAAGTTTTGGTTCTATTTTATGAACCGTGGTAATCTTTAGTTTATTTGACGAACCGTTGCAACATTTGGTATATTCTACGGTCGCTTCTTTTGGTTATAGTTCTTCATCAAATTTTTAATTTTAATTACTATAAATGAATATGTTGCCACCGTTTAATAGAACATAGTAACATTTGGTTTATTTGACGAACCAATGAATATTTTGGATTATCTAATGAACCGTTGTAACATTTGGTTTATTTGATGAACCGTTACAATATTTGATATATTTGATGAATCATTGCAACTTTAGTTTATTTGATGAATTATTACAACTTTAGGTATATTTGATGAACCGTTGCAACATTGCCTTTTGTGATACATTTTTTATGGCATTAACTAAAGCTTTTTTTTTTGAATAAAGCATTAACTAAAGTTATATTTGTTAATCTAGATTCTAGAGTATTATCTTGTCACCATATTTTATTCGTGTTTTTCAGTACATACACTTAGTTCTAATAATTGTGTCTTTTACAAACAATTTATCTATTTAAACTTTCATCTCTTTATAGCTCTATATATGTATATATATTATGTTTTTAAAAGTGGTTTAAAATTATTATTTCTTTTTGTTTGATATTTTTCATAGAAAGTTACATTTTTTGCTATTTAGCATTCATATATATATATACTTTGTTATCTATATCATTATTATTTTTTTCTAAATAAATATCTATTTTGGTAATTTATTTAATTTTTCTGAAGATTGTCTTTTTTTAACATAATACAATTTAAAATACTACGTCTTTTTATCGTAATATTTTGATGAATATATTTTTATAGCTAGTTATATTTATAATAGTTTAGAAAATTGAAAAATTGCATCTACTCATTATAACTTTTTGTGTAATATTTTTTGTTTGTGGTCGTATTGTTTCACCATAATATTTTCTAATAATAATACAAATCTTAAAAAGTATTTGTGAGAGTTTACGTTTCTTTATCATATTTTTTTGTAAAATATATCTTTATTTATTGTTAAAAAAAATTGTTTTGAAACTTGTTGTCTCAATTCATTATGACATTTCGTTTTTCTTCAAATTATCCTGAAATCTTTTCCCCCGCGACATCGGGGTCTAAGTCCTAGTAACATAAATATTAAATAACTACTATATGGAAATAAATTCGATGGAGAAAAAACAATAGCTTTGTTCTCAAAAAAAAGAGAGAGGAAAAACAATATATAGTAGTTGGGAATTTGTTGCTTTATACAAAAACAAACAATTAAACAATGAATGTTATACGATGCATTAATGATGGTACAAATAATCAAAGAAAATTGTTATGAACACAATATATTGATGATTTAGTTTATAGAAGTTCATCTTGAGATGCTTTAGCTCAGAAATTAGGGAATGTACTAGAGAGGTCAATTAACTGGAATAGTAGGGAAATTAGGAAAGACACAAAGAAGTCATTGGGATAAGAGAACCCAAATCAATAGAAACCGCGTAAAAAAGAAAAGAAAAAACGTGGTTTCTTGTTCTGATGCATCAAAGCAACATTACCTCCAAATTCAATTTCTTGAATTTTTCCTCTAAAGTTTGATGCTTTAAACTCGGGATTTTTTTGGTAACTTATCATGAAACAACTATAGTTGATTATATATCCCATATATGGGGTACTGTTTGTTTGTAATGTACCTACTACCTAGGATTGCCGAGTACCATACACCGTGGGCAGTCTTGAAATCACCACAATTAGCCGAGTTTTTTTTGTGAGCTGACCGCTTACTACATATATCATGCATGATGGCCTTTATTTCTTCCGGCGTTTAAGAAGTTTGTTCAAGAGTGAAATACGAATTATAAGAACGAAGCTTTTGCTGTTTGATTTTGCTTCAAATACTTAATTAGGAAGAGAACGTTATTAACTTGTGATCTCTGTCTCGAGTCAAAAAAATATTTCAACATAAATCGAATGTAAACCCTATAGATTTATGGGAGATAATCAAAGATTTTTATTTCTTATAGAACTGATAGTAGTACTATTGTCGTTAATTATTATATTTTTTATTTTTTTGACGAAGTACTATAGTAGTTATTAAATTCTTTTCTCTCATGCAAATTAAACTTCCACACCTCACTGCGTTTAATTTTAAACTATAAACCCTAAGAAATTTAGGGAGCCATGCATATATAGTGTAGAACATGTAATCCGATTGGTCTCAATCAATCATAAATCAGTAGGTAAACCATTAGATATATATTATAATTACAACATAAATCGAATATCCTAAATTTATGGGAGAGATGAGAGATCTGATCAAATATATTTATTTTTTGTAGAACTGATAGTAGTAAATCAAAAGAAATTTCTAAGGTACAAATGAATATAATAATATGTCTTTTTTAAAAAAATCATGGCATATATATATATATATATATATATATATATGTATTCTTTTCTATTTTGAAGAAGTTCCATAATATGAAAATTTTGTCTTAAATCAATGACTTACGGATGTATGGTGTGGTCTTCCACAGGCGATTGTAACCCCTTTTTTTTTTCCACTGAATTGATATTGATTAAGATTCGGAAAAGTTACATAACACAAGAAAAAAAAAAGATTGAACTACAAAGAGACACAATGGCTCCGATTGGTGAAAAAAAAAAGAACAATAGGAACAAGAAAAAAAAGGAATGAAAAAGAACAAAAAGAAAAGGAAAATTATCAAAACCAGGAACCAAAAGGAACATAAGAATTGAACAAATGATTATAGTAAATGGTAACCAAAAAATTGAAAAAATATTTAACTTAAAAATTATATATTTTATTTAGTTTATAAATTTTATTTAAAATTAAAGTTTTGATAAAAGTTTATTTATACATAAATATATAATAAAAATATAGGAATTATTTATGTATAGAAATGTAAATATTATCAAAAAAGCTATTTTAAAATTATTTAAAACTTAAAAACGAATTTTAAATTTTTGTTCCTTGTTGTTCCTATACAATTTTGGGGAGGAACAATTTTGTTCTATCATTCTTTTTTTTTTTAGGAATGAAGAGGAAAAATGTAGGACTCACATGTCTGAAAATAGAACAAAAATTCTTTATAAATAGTAAAAAAAAATGAGGAACAAAAAGAACATGACATTCCTATTCATTCTTTTCTTCAAAATTGGTTACCAATTGGAGCCAATGTTCGACCCACAACCTACAAGAGGAAGGGAGATTCCGATAATACATTTCAAAAACCAAACAATTCTTGACTTGAAACTAATGAAGCTCTCAAAGCTCACCACAACGACTTTCCGCATAACAAATTCTGAAGACCGGCTTCGAACACTTGTGGCAAAACAAGAAAGAGGAACTTGGCTTTTATTTATTTAATTATTAATTATTTTTTCTCTGGATTTAGTAATATAAGACAAACACAGATCAACAAGAGTATATAATGGGGTTACAAATATAAGCAGGCCCATTAAAAGCCCAGTCGATGATACGCCAAGGAAGAAGAAGAGATATCTTCACTCAGACACGTGTTCGGCAGCATACACTTTTCCCGGAAAAAAAAAAAAGAAAATCTTAGCTCCCTTTGTCTTGTTCTCGCGGAGAAGCTGAATTTAGGGTTCCGACCATGGCCGAGTCTGTGTTGACGGAGTATATGCACACTCCAAAGAAGCCGAGGTTGGAAAAATCCTCCGGAGAATCGAATTCCACCTCCACACGCAAACAACTCCGGAAGTACGACCCGTACGACGATGAATACATACGACAGTACATCTTATACTACTATCAGTTCCATAAGAGCGAGGTATATATATCTTTCTTCATTTCTCCCACAGAAATTAGGTTTAAAACCTGGATCCGCTAATTGATAAAAAGGTTTAATTTTTTGAAGCTCACTTTTTTTTTTGTTGTTGTTGTGTGGTTTAGGGTTTCGTGATTGATTGGGATAAACTGGATTTTCGGTTCGAGACTAGGCCTATCATGGACCCATATCGTATAGCTGCGTACAGTACCAATGATGAATTAATCCGTGGCGTGGCTTGCCGTGCCATTGCCCAACACAATGCAGATACAGTCAGTGTGTCTTCTTCGGTTTGTTAATATAATGCATGTTTGTGTTTCTTTTTGCTCACAAAATTTTTATTCAGGGAAGTCGGATTGAGTTCGTCGATCATGTTTCGGCAAGTTACAGGTGGTGTGCTGGTATACTTTATTGGGTAACGTTTTGGGCTCGGGATTTGGCATCATCCAATCCTGAGCCTAAACTTTATCAAGCTAATGTTCGCCTCTGTGGACAAACGTTCTGTGAGATTTATATCTTCAGGCTCAAACCAACTGATGAAGGTATCTTCATGAAACCTCTTTTTCAATCAATTTACTGCTCTCAACCATCAATGGACAGTTTCAGTTTCTTGGGAATTTTAGTGTCCTCTGAAAATTTGAGGTTTCTTCTGGCTGAGGTTTAGGTTCGTAGTTTGATATTTAACAACTTGTGAGTATTGGATATTTGCCTTTAGTCGATGATGGACTCTAGCCTCTAGGAATACATCTTTGGGCGTATTGTTTTGTTGGCATATTTGTGTGCTGGAAATGCCTTTACTTAATAATGGAAGCAATTGTGTTTGGATGTAAACGAGTGTGTGTGCGCGGTTATGATGCAGAGATTGCTGCTGTTCAAGTGGATCCTCCTCCTCCATTGTATGATGATGACCCAGGTGGATCTTTTTTACTCTTCTCTTGGTTTTTGATTTTCTTTTCAAGCAAGTAGTGACTTTGTTTCAGGGTATTAAACTCTTTTCTTAACTGGATTATTTGATGCTGCAGAGTTACCCACCATACTTTTCACTGCAACGGGTCCAGGATCTGGTTACATGTCCATACCTGAAGTTTCCTTCACTCGGATTCCTGCTGAAGTTGAGCCTGTGTCGTCACCATAATCCTCACCGTGGAAATCAAACCCCTAAACGTCTCGGTTGTATTGATTACCTTTCTTATTTTTTCCTCTTCCTAATCCTAATTAGAGCTCTAGTAACTTAGTAAGTTGTTGGAATGAACTTATATATATCATGAAGCCTAAATAGCTTTGTTCCAACTTATGTTCTTACTTCTTATTTGTAGCGGAATCCTTATTTAAAAATCTAAATCATATTTCAAATCCTTAGAAGCGCAGTCTCCAATCTCCATGTCTTCCAAATTTGACTGGATGATTAAAAAAAAAAAAACAATTTTTCAGAATTCTATGCCACGCCAAGAATTCGACTCTTAAATTAACCAAGAGTTCATATTGTCGCCAACGAGAAACTTTCTGTTCAAGCAACACTTGCAACCGACAAGCTATTTCTTTTGTTTGTTAAAAGAAATCTTAAGTATACACAAATTCATTGTTATGAAGAAATTTGTGTGTTAATTAGTTGACACTGCCATTGTCCTCCTAATTTTTGTTATATAAGAATATAAATTTAATTACAATATTCGAACATGTATATAGGATCTCCACCCTGATTTCTGTCCTGATAAAGTAAGTCAAACTCAAATATATTAACCTCTAAAAATCTTTAATTTTGTAATCTAAAAGTATTTATAACAAAGAACTACTACAGTTACTCTATTCAGTATTCCCTAACAACTAGGATCGGACCCGCGGTCCACCGCGGGAGAATATTGATTTACATACGTTGATTTTAATATTGTGCATGTTTTTAATAGAACGAATCGTGTAGTGTACTTATAAATATTCCTAATAACAAATTGTAAAGAAAATATTAAATTGTTTATAGTTAAACCAATCATATTAATTATGATTTACAAAATGGAATTTTGTGTTTTAGAATTCAAAAATTAGACGAATCATGAGAATTAAAGCAGTCAAAATAGGTCCAAAACCGCGGGTCGAGCCCAAATCATCTCACTATTGAGCAGATTTGGGAAAATATATTAAACCCGCAAATAAGCGGGCCACATGGATTGATTCGCAGTGGGTCATCGGTTTTCATCCGCGGGTTGGCGGATCAACCCGCATGATAGTATTTATTGATAAAAATATAATTTATTCAACATGTGGTAGTTTAAAAAACTTTTAATAAATGAAATTATAATATTTATAAATATATTGATATATAAGATTATAATCTCTAAATTTTTTCTAATTTATTTATTTCTTTAAATTTTGGTTACTCTAAAATTATTTAAACAAAATCCACGGATAACCCCGCAAATCAGCATACATTCGCGCGACGGGTTTGTGTTTCATATATGCTACCCGCGGGTCGTGCGGACAGACTAACTACATACCAAAATATATTTTGCCTATTGCAAAACAAGCTTAACGGGATGAATCAACTCGTTTTGACAGCTCTAATGGAAATATTATTTAGTCATACAACACAATGGAGTTTGGACATAGGAATAATAAAATATTTATCTTATTTGTTAGATGAGAGATTGAAAGGTGAAATATAATAATTAAAAAATAATTAATATTTTTCATGATTTACAAAATTTAATAAATATAATTCATATTATACGTAATTAATGTATAATATTGTTCGGAATATGATTTTATAATTAGTTACCATAAGTACAATCAAATTTTATTTGATTTCCATAAACATTTGATTTTAGTTCGATTTTTCATTATAATTCAAACTTATATTCCAAAAAAATTTCAAATATCCGATTTCAGAATTTCGGGTCAACTTTCTGATTTTGACCCGACCCATTTACATTTGTACTTCTCTTCTAATAGTATAGAGATATACAACCAAAAAACAAAAACAAAAACGATATACAAGTATGAATGATTTGCGATGAGGCCATGGCCCATGGGCCGTTCGTATCGTGTATGTCCGGCCTTGTAAGTTTTATAAGTTCACTTTTAAGTTTTTTCTTTTTCTTTTTGTCAAATGTTCACTTGTAAGTTTAGGTATGATTTTGCAATAAGGTATTAAAAAAGTCATGTGATAATTTAACAAAAACTATTTTTAATTGGGGTTATGTGAACATTCAAAATATTGTTGAGTAAACAAAATACGACAAAATGTCAATTGAAAAAGGTTTTATGTTACCACCACAAAAAAAAAATAAAAAATTGTTATAGGCATGGGACGAAGTAATCAGTCCAATCGAGACTACGTACCTTACCTACAAGTTGATGTTCTTAATTAACATACAATCCACGTACGGACTCTAAACTATATAATATATCATTTTTAGAAATAAATTTAGCAAATGCGTAACAGCGTAAGGATAGTACATATTAGATGATATCAGGAGTCATAACATAAACTAATTTTATCCAACCGATGGTTCTAGTAGACTAGCTAGTAGTAGCCAAGTCACTATCAATGAAAAAATAAATTCCAATGATACATGCATTCGAACCGACCTCGATAGACACTGAAATCGAATCAATTCACCTAAATTGAAATGACTTTTCCTAACTAAAAAAAAAACACTCTTCAAATTTTATTCAGAACTCGGACCGAACCGAAAAAGTTATAAATCTAGCTCTACATACAACCCATTCGTCCACATTATAACTCAAGCCGAATCATCCTCATAATGCATTAAAGAAAAAGTCACAATCTATGAAAATGAAAATTTCTGAGTGAATCACTGAATCACATAAAGTCCATATATGTATTATTTGTTCGTTATCCATCGTTATAGTAAATGACGCAATGGGCGACCCATGTGGGTGTAGGTGTAGCAACTAGCCAGTTAGTTACAAGCAAGTGTGCAATAACTTTTAACAAAATTATTTATAAAAATAAAAATAAAAATCTGAGAGACGTGTAGGGAGTGGACCAATTTTTATAGTAATATAATTTCAAAATATGTTTCTAAGAAATCAAAGTCAACCGTAAAAGGTCGGGCTTGCAGCTAGCATCCCACGCGATATCTTCGACTCCACATTTTGAGTAAATGTTCTCTTCTGTAATATAGTATTAAGTTCGATATAAATCCACATTTTTTAATGTTGAAAATATCTTAGATAATTTCATCAACAGTTTAATAGCACTATCCTAGTCGCAGCTAAAGCTAAATCAATTAAGACTGTTTTGCAAATATTAGAACAAATTTTAATTTATTTTACTAGTTGTAGTTTTGTACCAGCTTAATTCGCATAAAATAAAATAACATCTAAAACTGGTGTGCTCCTTTGACCAAAAAAAAAAAAACTGGTGTGCTCCACGTAATCACACTATTGTTGATGGTAGATTATGGGTCCGGGCCCATAATCCCATCTTGGGCCTTCAACTCGACGAGACGGGCCGAAAAATCAGATTTTAAGGGTCCGGCCCATTAAGAGTTTAGTCCCAGCGGAAGCCCAAGAAAGGCCCGATCCGATTTTCCACCGACCAAAGGGCAAAAAGGACATTTCGTACGAACAGTGTACCCTACTTCTGCACCCTATAAATAGCAAAAAAGAATGTTTGTAAAGGGATCCCGAAATAACCGTTTTCACAGAGAATTTCGTACAACCGTCAGAACACTTTGCGGCTCGTCTCGTATACTCAGTTTTTAGCTCGTCTATTTTTGTAATCGTCGGCTCGTCATTAAATAAGAGATTCTTCTTTCACCCTTAAGACTTCGAATACGTACTTGTGTGATTTTGAGGATCAACAACTATGCAATGACATCGTATATCTCGACATAACTTTATCTTAGCGTCCCCTACATCAATTATATTACAGTATTATGAAATCGAGAAAGAATTAGCGCAAATATTGTGATTTTGAGAAGAAAATTCACCGATTCATCGCTCCTCTTCATATTAGGTACCTATTTCTAAAAGCTAATCACAATATGCTCTTACGTATGCATTAGATATTAATAATAATCGAAATAGTAACTCAAGAATTTCGTATATAAACATGCCAACCGATTTTTGTAATTGTATGTTTAAGACTCTATACGTGGTTTACCATTACCGGGTTAGATTTTTATTTTATTTTTCTCTTTTCCAAATTGCATTGCATTATTAAAAATATAGAAATATAATAAAAATCAGTATATCATAGGGTCTCAACTAGGGGTGGGCACGGAGCGGATATCTGGGTTTTTGGTGGTATTTGTTATTCGATTCGTTTTTTCCGAATACTAAGTTTTCCGATTCGTATTTGCTTCGTTAGTGACCGGATATCCGGCTGTTCGAATTTCTATTAAAATCCAAACTATTTGACGGATATTCGATCCGTTAAGTATTTGTTTAAAATTAAACAAAATAAAAATATAAATATAAATCTAATCCAAAAATTGTAAAATTTTATTAAAAATAGTAATATTTTATCAAAAATATATATATTTCTCCTTGTTCAAACTAGTAGTTCAAATAATTAATTCGGAGATTAAAAATTATAAAACGCTTACAAGAATAATAAAATTATAATTTATATATGTAATAATCTATATTTATGTATGTATTCCGGAGCGAAGCGGATAGCCGCCAATTTGAATTATAGTATTTGATATTTGCTCCGTTTTTTACGAATATCTATTTTTAATATTTGATTTGCTTCGAAAAGTTACGGATATCCGGATTTTTCAAATCGAATCGAATCGAATAACGGATCGAAGCGAATCTAACGGATATTTTGCCGAGCCTTAGACTCTCAACTCAACCAACATAAAAGAAAAACCATTTACATACAAGTTACAAGTAGCTCAGCTCAAGAATCATTGAATTCGAGACCAAACCAGGAAACATTAAAGTCAAGCTAGAAAAATTGTACACGTAAAACATGTGTAAATAATATAGAGTTACTTACTTGTAATTTGTAAACTTTACAGAGAAAAAACGTGTTGAATTGAGTGGTCTAAACACAAATTTATGTTAAGATGGGTCGGGTCTCTCGTGAGACAATAATTTTGGAACTTAATATGATTTAACGGTAAGATGAGCCCTACACATAACTTTCTCCAGTCAAAGACAGAGCATCTCTATTTTACTTGTTTCCAGCTCTTTTCCATCACATTCTACCAGCATTCGAAGATGCTTTGATATTAACCAAGGGCGGACCCACTAAGAAAATGGGGAGGTCACCTGACCTGGTCAAATTATTAAAAAATGTGTGAATGCATAAAAAAGTCTAAAGTCCGTATAGCATATTTGGCTAGAATCTGTGTTTTGAAACCCTTTGTACCCATGTTCGACT